GTACGTACCCTGGCAGCCTTACCTCAGCCTCATCCCAGCTCCGGAGCTGACTGAAGTACCTGAAGCAGCTGAGCTTGTAGTAGGACCAGCCCTTGGGGCAGTAGTCTATGTACCCAGCATCTGTGGGGGGAGAGCCGTGGGGAAGGATGTGGGACAGCTGGCATCACTGGCTGGAGAGAAGTGTGGGTCCCTCCTGGCCCCACTGCAAAAGCAGCTGCTCCCCAGGTTGTGGGACTCACCAGCTGGCTGCAGGAGCCCCACGTAGCCCAGCAGCAGGAGGGCGAGTCTGGCTGCTGCCACCATCCTCCTAGTTCCTGGATGCGTCTCCTGCAAGAGCTCAGGGGGTCACACCAGGTCCTTTGAGGGCAGGGGATGCTGCTTGCACCTGGAGGGTGCAAACCTGCCCTGCTATGGACTGAATCTGCCCCCTTTCAGCTGGCTGGAGGAGATGGCAGCCCTGAGGTCTGTGCCTCCCTGTCCCTTCCCTGGCACTTGTCACTGTTCTGTGCCCACACCCCATCCCCCAGGCCTGGCTCAGGGTCCCCAGCCCACCCTGGCAGCGGGGTGTCCCAACGCCACCAGTCCCAGCCCTCGGCAGGAGGCATCTGGGTGAGCCAAGCTGCTTATGGGGGACATCGTTGGGGGACCCCAGCCCTGTCCTGGCATCGGGCAGCAGCAGCAATGGCATCGGCAGGGCCAGGGCTGGTGGGGCTGCAGGGACTACGTGTACAGCATCGTTTCACCCCCTCAGCTCGTAGAGCTGCCAGATCCAGGCTGGGGCGGCAAATCGGCCCCATCAGCGCAGTTCCCCTTTATCTCAGCTAATCCCCAGGCACTGGGGCTGATTTGCAGACTCAGCTTGTCTTCCCCTCAAAGAAGCAGCGACAAAAGTCAATGTGGGGCTGAAAATGGCATGGTTGCAGCCTGCCCCATCCAGCAAGGGCAGCACTCGGCTCCCCTGGGAGCTGCCAGGGCTGGGACCAGCTCCTGCTCACCCATAAGCCACCTTAGAGCATCCTGGGGCCACAGCCACCCCGTGAGGGTCCCTTTCCTCACCTGCCGTCCAGAGATTGGGAGGAATAACGGCTTCTCGTGGGTCACCGGGAAGGGAGAGGAGACACGCAGCCCTTTATAGCCAGGTGTTCATCAGCATCACTGTTTGCCCAGCTCAGGTGATTCCCACCATAAAAATCTTACTGCTGACTCCCCTCCATCCCCCCTGCTTTGCTGGAAAGCCGCCCAGATCTCCATTCTGTTTACATTCAACATTTCTCCAGAGAAGACAGGAAGAGCCTCTCCTAGTTGGTCAATAAACCCCCTGCAATTAGCGTTAATTACTAATGCAAACACAGAGGTAACCTTGGGGCAGAGAGCAGCCTGGCACCAGGTAGGGATGCCCACTGGCCCAGCCCCAGCTGAACTGGGGGCTGGTGGGGATGATCCCCGGGAAGTCCGTCCTGGCTCTGGCCGGAGCATCCCTGCAGCGTGTACCAGGCCATGGGTACCACCCGCCACCATCGCCCGTGTCCCCAGCCAAGGGATGGCACCTGGCCGGGTCCCATGCCCTGCCCTGCTCTTCCATGCGTCACCTGCACACCACCCTTGTTTGAACTGCATGGAGATGTTTGTCAGCAGGATGCAGGACACAGGGATGTGGGAACAGCCTGCAGTCAGGGGCTGGCGGGCACCATCAGATAGTGGTGAGGGTGCCCGGCCCCCATGCCTGGTGGTGACGCAGGGTTGCGTCAGTTCATGTCCCTCCAGGAGGAAGGGGCAGGTCCTGCAGCAGCAGCCCCCCACTGCCCCTGCTCCATACAGGGAACCCACAGCCCTGGCCCCAAGGAGGCTGCCCTGACCCCAGCGGCCAGAGCCCTTCGGCATAGTTGACACAGCCTTCTCCATCATGGTCCTCTCTCCTCACCCCGGGGTGTCCTCTTGCACCAGTGGTAGGTGGCTGAAGCTCATCTACCCTACTGCTTAGACCATGCTGCTCTGGAGCATCATTTTGTTGGCTCCCAACATATCAAAGCAGCTTTGAAAGCTCTTCCTGCTGCCTGTCCCGTGGCCTCCTGAGCTGGGGCCAGTGCCCGGCTCTCCTTCCCCCAGCCCTCAGGAAGACCCTTGGAGGAGGCCATTGGGAGCTACCCAGCAGGCAGCTAGCTGCAGCGGATCCAGAGCCAAGCCCCTCATCTCCCAAGACAGAGGGCTCATAGCTGGCTGAAGCTGTTACTTCTGGCTGTCAGACTCCAGCCATGTCCTCCAGCCCTCGGGGAGCTCCCACGGCTCCTTTGGGGCAGCATTTGCCAAAACGCGGGGCGAGTGCTGCTACACCCACGGGAGCAGCTCCTGCCAGCATGCAGAGGCAGGTCTGGCTTTTGCCCCGGGGAGGGAGGAGGAGCAGACCCATCTCCTTCACCCACACAGTGGGGATACAGCTGCTGCTGCTCCCCGAGATCTCTCGAGGTTTGGCCAGCTTGCTCGGCACCCTCTGGGATCCAAGGGTAAAGCCTTCTTGTGTCCAAACACAGCTGCTGCCTGCTATCATCGCTCCTCAGACAACCAGCCTTACCGAGGAGATCAGCTGCTCTGGTGAATGGGGAAACTCTTCAAACACAGCAACCCCCCCCAGACCCCCAAGAAGACAGAACTCCAGCCTTGTTTTATGAAAAACCATGAAAATGTTTCTCAAAGGAGCCTAAGGGCTACTCCATTACTCCTTGTTTAGATAAGGGACACCCCAGCTCCCTGCCTGGCTCTTTCAATTATGCTTATCTGTGGGTGCAACACAAGTTCTCACAAGCTCCTCGTCACCTTGGGCAGGGGAAGAGGCATGCGCCGTCCCCGAGGAGATGCAGTTTCAAGTCTCAGCCTGAGCACTGGCAAACTTGATGCAGCTTGATGCCCCAGAGGCACAGCAGAGCTTGCTAAACTTTGGCACAGATGTGCAACCTGTGGGAGAACATGGATGAAAGCTTCCCAGAGGTTTGTACTTGCCAAGCTGGCTATACCAGAAGATAAAGGAGCTGTACTGTTTGAATAGCAAACCCTTAAAATGCCCCCAGCAGCTTTATCCCTGTGAGGTGACACAATTCAGCTACTGGCTCCATCTGAGTCCACAGTGAGAGCTGGAAACCAGCCAGGTGAGTGCTGGTGGAGCCCAAAGCTTCAGTGGCACTTCCCTGCTCAAAATACAGGAATGCAGCCATGGTCAAGTTGTTCTCTAATCATTCAAGTAAAACTTTTCAAGTCTGATTCCTTGTTTTAGAAGCTGGAGAATTGCATATCAGCTGCCAAACCAACATCAGGGAGGCAGCCTCAGCTCCAGGGACAAGGGTCCTCCTCCCGGCTGCAGGAACAGAAACAGCCCAGGGAAGCAAGAAGGACCTGAAAAGGCAAGTGAATCCACAGCCCCACTAACCACAGCCTGACCCATGCTTGCCCACAACCTTTCTAAAAGCCACACAAAAGCCCCAGCCCTTCCCCAGCTCCCAGGCAAGTGAGAGCTCTTATTCAAAGCATCTCAAAGAGGTCCTTCCCTGTCCTTCCCAGTATGCCCAGCTGCTGGTGACTGCCCCCTTCTCAGCCAACCGAGAGACCCAGAATCCTCCTGCTACACACCCGAGCTGGGCTGCTCTCAGCTTCCAGGCACAGCTCCCTTGGACAGAGCTAAGCAGTGGGGTTTGTGTGCTGCCGAGACACAGCACAGAGCACCCTTGATCCCCAAAAGCTCTCCTGACGTGGACTGTGGGGGTCCTAACGAGCCCTCTCTCACCAGGGGTCTGAACAGCTACCGAACAGCGACGATTCCTTTATAATCCTGTCGTTCCAATCCAGTGGCTGTGCTGTGACAGCTGGGCAGACAAACAAAACCAGCAGCACACGGACGCTGGGCATGTACTCTTTATTCTGGGGATAAAAATTGCTTATACATTTTGCAGCAACTATTTTCATAAAAGACTTTTATAAAAAATGTAAAAATAAGCAAATATTTTTCCATTATTAATATAGGAAAACGCTGCTGTGTGGATGGTTACTCTACAACTTATGAGATAAAATACCACCTTAAGGAGATACTATCTTTACAAGTAGTTAAAAAACAAAACAAAAAAAGAAAGGCAGAGGGCCATCGTATTAACACGCCAGGCATGAAACTGGCTTCATTCCACAGAAAGCACTCATCTTGTAAAAAGTAGCCACATATATAACAAGGCACTTGCTTATTTGGGGCTAATGAGAAAAAGCCCTTTGTTTCTTTAGCATTGATGTAGCAACACTTCATTATTTGCAGCGAAACATGTACCTGGACAGATCTCCAGGAGCTTGAGAGCTCCTGCCTGGAGATCTAAGTCAGCTGCAGCTCAACTTCACAGGACACACTGCGGCGAGCGTGCCGGGGAACGCTGCGTGCGTCGTAAAAAGCAGTAACTTCAGAATTAAAAACTTCAGCCCAAAACGACGGCCCCGGGAACCAGCTTCTCCTGAGGCCCTGCCTTCATGTACCATTGAGTGGAATCGAAAGAAAAAGCTTTTACTCGTGATTAGAATGGAAAGAAGTATCAGAGAAAATACTGTACATGGTAGGATGCTGAACGGCCGCTGCTTGGAGGGGAGCGGCCTTCTCTGTCCTTTGGCGGCAGCCGACAGCCCCAGTCTCTTTGGAACGTGTGTCTGCAGAGTTCCCCCGAAGAGGTAGGAGCAAACCATTCCCAGAAGTGTTCACTTCGGCTGCTGAAGGTCAGAGCCCTTCAGGGAAGCGTTTCTCTTACGGACA